CTGCTCAATTTGAATTGTTTTCGCACTCGGTTTACATCGTATTCAAAATTAGACTTTATAATAAAGATAAACGAGATGATGAAGGAATAAATGATAAGGATTAAGAAAAAAGTGAAGGAAATATTAAAGATAAAGACGAAAGTGAAAACAATGAGAAATACATAAATCTTAGCGTTACTGGAATAGTAGGAAAATGTATTGAATTTTTGAAAGAAACTTCTTAAGCGGTGGTTAGTTGGTTGGGAGTAAATTTTAAAATTCAACGGAAATGATGCTTGCGAATATGGATGGGACGGAAATGGTTGCAACGGAAACAAGTGCTTTTTATATGCGTGCACATGGCATTAATCTAACAAAATTGTGCTAATAAGCGGGTCAAGAATAAGAGTTAGATTAAGCCTAATACAAGAATGAAAGTAAAGGTTAGTATCTACATAAGGGTGGTCCAAAAATTCACTCGAAAAAGTAAAGTCGGAATTTTTATACTCACCCCCTAGGATTGTTTGTGGTGTTTGTTAATAAACCAGCGAAAATTATGTGTCCGAATAAAAACTGTCGAGTCACGCGAAAGTCCGGACTAATTGAGAATTGCCCTTATATAATACATTTCAATAGCTGCATTTTCTTGTAAGCGAGCGACAAAGGAACGCTCAACTTGAGTAAAATTTCCTTTTAGCTACTTAAGCAACCCTGTTGTTCGTAGCTGGCAACAGACATGTGATTAGTTTAACAGGATTCAGATACAAAAAACAATTTAAATGAGTAATTATGCGAGGTGTCTGCGTAATATATAACCTTATTTAAAATATAAGTCACGTATATAAGGAAATACAAATTTCCCTCTCCACTTTCCCATTAACAATTTGTAATAGAGCGTATTTTTTAACCGACCTGGCTGAACGCGGATAATTAGCCCAGTTTTTGTTGTTGCCTTGCGTGTATTTCGTCATTTAAGCGAGTGTTTTGTTGTAACTCGGTTGCAAAAGAATCCACCTTATTTATTAAAGCAATACCGGCCAAAATGTGCACATTGTGCAATTTCTCCTTCGTGTTTTCGCAGCAACGCTAAAGCCTGATCTACAGTTCAATGCGAGCGAGAGCGTGGGCTTTTTCTTTTGACCAATATCTTCCTTATTACTTAACTTTTTGCAATAGTTGATACATCAAAAGATAGGGAATTAAAATAACTTTCAGAATTATAGAATAAAAACTAATTTAAAATGCATAATATGCCTTTTTTCGAGCTCACACTCAACTGTGTGCGTACGCAAAGCATTCGCATGTGAACGGCAAGTTTTGACAGATGTGGCATATTATGCATTTTAAATTAGTTTTTTATCTATAATTCTGAATGATATTTTAATTCTCTATCTTTTCATGTCTCAACTATAGCAAAAAGTTGAGTAGTAACGAAAATATTGATCAAAATAAAAAAAACTCACACTCACGCTCGCATTGAACTGTATATCAGGCTTAACGATGTGTATGCACGAAGTTATGCTTTCGCTTCTCATCAGTGAGACCAGGCCCCAATTGCACCAACGGCTTATCATTTATCACTTTACAACTTTTGGATAAGCCTTTTTTTGAAAAGTAAAGTTGATAAGTGTTGCACTTTGTACTTATCAAAAAAAACGTATCAACTTATAAAAAAATTAATAACTGACAAGTTTTTTGGATAAGTCGATTTGATAACCATTGCACAGCCAATTTCTTTTACTTTTCAAATGGAGAACTTTTCCAATAATGTGCTTAGCTGAAATGATTTTCTCAATGGAAAACGAAAGCTTAGCAAACCCATGTGAGATTTGATAAACATTTTCAATTTATCTTTTTTTCTTACTATGTCGCGCGCACAAAGCAAAGCCAATAAATTGGCTGCCTTAAAAATTATTAAAGAAAAAAGTAAGTCCGCCTGGACTATCATATGTATGTTTATATAAATAACTATATTTTCTACATTTAAGGATTTTTTATTTGAATCTTTCCAAAATAATTCAGTAACAAAAACACAAGAACCACATTGCATTAATTGAATGATTTCCATACCGGTTAACAAATTGGTACTCAGTAGCCTTAGGGGCGTCGCTATTTATCATAGTTCCATCAATGTACCTTGCGACTTAAGGAAATCCACCAATGTTGAAAAATTGTGTGACAATATTTTTCGTAAATTCCGGCCAACTAATAGTTTCATCCATCAATTTGTTTATCAGGGCATTTGCCACTCGATTAATTACGGTACATGCCGTTAATTTGTGAACCCCAGGCAATTGACCAATTCCATGATATTGGCTACCATTACCTAACTGCCCGTCTCCATAGGATAAAGTTTATATCTTGATACATATTTATGTTAGAATATAAATAGCCAATGGAGATCGCTCATTTCTCTTCAAGAGCAATATATATCAGAGCTTATATCTTGCCATCTATTGACGGCAATTTAGTGGTTTGACAGCTACATTAATGATTTATTTCATATCGCTGCTGCTTCTTTTACGGGTTTCAATTAGAATATTCACTCTTTTTATCAGATACAATTAAAAAATATTTCGCAAATCGAGTCGAGTTCAAAGTTTCGAATTTCAGAACATGCCCGTATATCAAAATCTCGCCTTTCAGGAAAACCTTTGGAAAAGTTGATTTTTTGGGCAAATATAACAAAAAAGGAGTTATTTTCTCAAACTGATTTTATATGAAAAAACTTTATATATTAATCTGGTAAAAAATGTATTCTATTGTTCTGTATGAAAAAATATTAGAAGATAAATAATCTTGTAAAAATGCATATTTTTTGTGAAAAAAATTCAATAACTTTGAAAAATTTGCAAAGTCGTCGTTCTATGTACAAGTACTCGATACCTTTCCGATACTGAGTAGGTATCGATACCTTGGTTGATACAAGTACAAGTACTGATTTGAGTAATACCTTGATGGTATCGATTTATCCCTATCACTGGTATGATAGGTAAAATTATTTTTAGCAAAATAATGCTAAAGTTAGCAAAATGAAAGATGACAAGTGATAAATAAAAATTTTTAGTGCAACGAAATGCTAATAAATTTTGATAATTTGCATAACTTATCACTTATCCGCTAAAGCCTTTTCGCTAAGCATGTCAAATTTTAGTGCAACGCTTATCAATGAGTGAGAGTGATATTTTACTTATCAATACTCATTTGAGTGACTTTTCCTTATCATGTTGGTGAAACACAAAACTTTGCGCAAGTTCGATAATTTGCTAAAATGCTAATGATAATTCGTTGGTGCAATAGGGCCCAGGTTAGCCTTTTCGAGGCTAGATTTAGCATTCAAGTTTATGCAATAGCCTCAGAAATTCAGATCTGACTTCGTGGCATTTTTTTAATTAAAATATTCATGATAGAATTCGAACCGGAACAATAAAAACTAGTAATTTTTAGCAAAAAAAACCCGACTTCAACTCTCATATAAAAAAAAAATATATATATATATATCTCATGATCCGCTGATCGGATCTTAACCAGATTAGTATGGGACCACCTCTGAGACACTACCTTTCCGATGCAAAAAGAATTATCGAAATCGGTTGACGTGGTCCAAAGTTATGCGGTAACATACATAAAAAAAAAAAAAAAAATAAAAAAAAAAAATATTTCGACGAACTGATAACCTCCTCCTTTTTTGGAAGTCGGTTAATAAGTAGCTACTTAAGCTTCCTAAAAAGCTTTAATATTTTTCAAGCTTTTGTTTACCGTTGAAATATAACAATAACAGTGCAAAGTACCATTTCTTTGAGAAATACTTTCTTAGCTATTTAAAAAAATAATACTAATAATTTACTGTACTTTTGCAAGTTTTTGCATTTTCCTTATCCCAAACTTCTTTTTGCATATTTTGAAGGTATGTAGCCGTTATTGGCCTGATAGATGTTAGCTATTCTGTGTTCTGATGAGAATTATTTAAAAAGTTGTTTACAGAAAATCGGATTTGCGGAACATATAGAGTTTTTAAGAATTAGTAGACTTCTTTTTAACTTCAGTTTTCATAGCGTTTAACAATTTCTAACCTTTTTTAAAAACGAATTTAGCTTCACATTTTGCGATCATCTGGTCACATTGCTTCTCATGTGCTTGGCACACACACTTATGCAGATAATTTAGGATTCGTATGGCCGGCGCTCTATTAAAGCATTGGCCAACGTTGGTAATTCTTCCTACAATATTTTTTTAAATTCCATCGTCCACTCACCATGTTGACTTTAATAAAATGGCGACAAAATTGGCAATTGATAATAACCATGGCATAGTAGCCCAGTTATGCATACTTGCACTACTATGTATACCAGTTTTACGTAAAAATGAAAACCCAATAGAATTCTAAATACTAGTGAAGTAGTAGCAACATATGCGTTGGGTAACCGCTTACACACAAGCCCATTTAATAGATTCTCATGTGACAACTCTCATGCAACGCTAAGTATGCATAACTGGGCTATAAGGATTTGTCTGTACGGCCCGGAAACCAGTGTAGGCGAACTTTTCAATTTTCTTAAGGCAGTGTCACACGATTGGTACATTTGTACAGATTTGTACATTTCGGCAGTTACAGAGTAGTGTTGTTTGGAAATTCTTTTATTGAGCTCAACTAAAATTTCTAAAGAACGCCACTATGTGACTGCCAATATGTACAAATCTGTACAAATGTACCAATCGTGTGACATTGCCTTTACACTCTTAAAATTTTGTATGCGCATAAGCCCTCGAATATTGCACAGTCAGGTGTGGTTGTGTATATACATAAAGTCTACTTAATGCAGATTGATAATCACAAGAGGAAATTACTTCAATTTTACCTCATTGGAAATAAACGAATAGGAAGCTTTTTTGTACATTCATATATAACATTTTTATTGCACATTTTCTCAGGTCTTTGCATAGAAAAGATAAGGAAATAAATCTTTTGCTTAATAAAAAATCTATTGAAGTTTGCTAATACTAGAAAGTCTCGTCAGCTTTTAGGCCGTGAAGGGAGGTTGGGGGTCGTTAGGGTAGGAGTAGCCTTTTGGTCCAGAAGATGGTGGAAGATATTCTTTTGGAGGTGATGGTGGTGGACGCTTGGGAGTTGGTGGTGGTGGTGGTGGCCGTTTGGGCGTTGGTGGTGCTGTTGGCCGGACTGGTGGCGCTGGTTTATTTGTCGGTGCTGGGGGGAGGTATTCTTTGGGTGGGGATGGTGGTGGTGGCGGAGGTGGTGGAGGGGAAGGACGCGCCGGAGGAGCAGGTTTATTCGTTGGTGCTGGTGGCAGGTATTCCTTGGGTGGAGATGGTGGTGGCGGTGGTGGAGGTGGTCTTTTGGGAGCCGGTGGTGGAGGTGGTCGTTTGGGAGCCGGTGGTGGAGGTGGTCGTTTGGGAGCCGGTGGCGGAGGCGCTGTTGGCTGTTTAGGTGCTGGAGGTGGCAAGTATTCTTTTACTGGTACGGGTCTACTTTCAAATGGGGTCTTTGGAGCCTGATAATGGTAGCCACTTTCGTCTTTGGCGCCGGCTGCCTGGATGCCAGATGCTGAAGCACTACGAACCGGAGCTGGAGCAGATGCAGCTGGTGTGCCATAGTAAGACGACCCTCCGAAATAACCGGCACTACCAAAAGACGAACCAGCTGAACCAGAGCCTGAGTAAGATGCAGCGGGAGCTGAGGCAGCAGCTGTATGAGTGGAATCATGTGTATAAGATGCAGCTGGGACCGAGGCTGCATGATAAGATGAACCAATTGAGGCAGCTTGGGGTGTTGAGCTGTGTGTATAAGACGCTCCAGGAGCTGAAGCAGCTTGATAGGAAGATCCCTCTGAATATGAAGCAGATGCACGGTGTGAGTTAGAAACTGCTGGAGATGAAGCAGCTACGTGAGATGAGCCATGGCTGTAAGAAGCAACAGGTGCTGAAGCAGCTTGATATGATGAAACCCCTGAATAAGATGCAACAGGTGCTGAGGCTGCTTGATGAGACGAATGATGTGAGTAAGAAACAGCAGGGGCTGAGGCTGTATGGTGAGATAATCCATGATCTGTTGAACCACCTGAGTAGGAAGCGACTGGAGATGAAGCAGCCTGGTAAGAGGAACCACCGTATGT